GATAGGCAGTATAAAATTCTGCCCAAATGTGTACCTCCTAATCCCTTGAACCTGATCCCTTACATGGCAAATGGAACTTGTCAAAGGAGATTAGGTGAAGGAAGGACCTTGAGCTGGAGAGATCATCCTGGATTATCCGGGGTGTCCAATCTGATTGAATGGGTCCTTAAAAGTGGAGACCCTTTCCCAGCTGTCCTCAGAGGAAGAATGTGGTAATGGAAGAAAAGCACAGAGAATGGGAAAGTTCCTGGCTTTGAAGGTAGAGAAAGCAGGCCATGAGCAAAGGAATGCAAGAAAAAGGAAGGAAAAAGATTCTCCCCTGGAGCAACAGAGGGAATGCAACCCTGCAGATACCTTGATCTTAGCCCAGTGAGACACATGTTGGACTTCTAACTACAAAACCCCAGAAAAATAAGTATGCGTTGTTTTGAGCTACTTAGTTTATGGAAATTTATGGTAATTGTCTATAGAAGCAGTAGAAAATGAATACAGTTATTGTGCATTCTCTGGGAAGGGATACATCTAAGCCATGAAGTTTTTTTCCCAAACTTTCTCTCACCCTTCTCCTGAGAACACTGTAGTTTGCCATAGTGTCTGGTTTTATAGTTTTACAATGGGCTTTCCTCCTTATTTTGCTCAAATTTACTAGAAATCTTCTTGATCAAGCTACTGTGCCTCCCAGTAACACATTCTCCTCTTCTTGGTACTATCTGTATTCTGATATTATAGGCCATGGGCCAGCTGCTGAAATCTCAGCCTTCCCCCGGCCGACTGCTTAATTCTTGGTATCCTACGTGCTCTGAATCATAACACTGAATTATGTCACCAGGTCTTTTGACTTTAACCCAAATATTCAGACTAAATTCTTATGTAAGCACCATTAGTATTCATAAAAATTAGGCAAAAATGGAGGATAACTGGTGGCTTTAGTAAACCCTGCATGCTGTTCCACTGTATCTTGTATATCATCTCATCAGCCTCACTGGGTCTCTGTGTGGCTATTTCCATTCCATTTTCCAAACCAAGAAAAAAATATCACCGATCTCCCCTATGTTTAGTTTTCTTCTAGTGGGGAACAAATCTTCATTACTTACCACTACCTGATAACCCTCCATATTCTATGGGGTGGGTGGAATGAGACTTCTTCTATCGAGGGTTCAGCTTTATCCTCTGGGATGCGGCTCATGCCTACCCTCTGATTGCAAAGGGGCGCATTAAAAAAAATCTCTCCTTAATGTCTCATTCCTCTACTGACAGCCTTAACATGAATTTTGATTCTGCCTGGCCTCCTGGAAATCTTTTTCTTTCTTTGATTCCCGGATCTTGTGTTCCATGCTGTCTAAGACCATTGTGACGGTTTTCAAGTGTTTGACCTTTTATGTCAGAGAGACTCGCTTACATGTACAGAACACTCCCTCGGTTGGCCCCCTTAAGCGGGAAGTTCTTCATTACTTGAGCTGAAGCAACGATACTGCTTTTGGGGCCAGCCTTGCTTCAATCTCTTAAATTAGCCTCTTTCTCAGATTGCAGGCTTTTTGGAAGTTTCTAGGCCAACAGTTTGATACTCCAGGGGTGGCCCTCTTGCTGCATGTTCAACTATCATTGTCCAGTAAGTTTTAAGCACCAGTTCTTGCCTCATATTTTGACACATACCATGTGCTTAGAACTAAGTAATAATGATTGAGTGCTTCTGTGTAGCATAGTGTCCACATGTACTAGTTTCCTTGAATCTCCATGATTGTCATATGTGTTAGGTCCTAATATTACTCCCCTTTTTAGAAAAATAGGCTTAGAGACTCTGAATAATTTCTTCTAAGTCTTGCAGGCAGTGACCAGTGGAGAGGAAGTTCAAACCCACGTCTGTGTGACCCTGGAGCCTGAGTGCATACTCACTCTGTTCTGCTCATTGGATGAGAGCAATAGTGTTGGAAACTGGATCCCTTTCTTTTCTGTTCTCAAGACCAAGTCCTTTTGATCTGCAGGCCTACACTTCTCCTTCTCCTACCAGGCCATTTTGGGGTCTGGATCCCTCAGACTCTGTCTTGATAGCAACTAGAGCCCATTGCTTGCAGCGTCTGCCTAAACACCTGCTTGCTCCGCACTCACCGCTACCAGCGTTGCTATCAGCCCTGCTCTACCACTGTTTTTCTGGGCACTGGTTTCTTGCTGCCAGGTTACCAGCACTGCTGCTGGTAATGTGAACCCATGGATGGGTTCAACTCAGGGCAAACAGAAGCATTTATGGGGGTGGAGGAAGAGAAAAAGAGAGAGATTAACTTGAGGGACATTTCTGAGTGCATTCGTGTGTAATATGAAAAGTATTTGCCATCCTACAGTCACCAATTAGAATGGACACCTGTTGTAATACTGGTGTGGGAGGCATCCTACCATGACAGGGTTACCTCCTTAGCTGCTAGACCTTAGGGGTGGTCTAACGGATCCCAGGGGAAGGCATTTAGAGGTCTTTATGAAGGAGCCATTTGCCAACTGAACGAAGAATTTCTGATTTTAATAGAGAATATCTGCTCTGTGTGGGTGGGTCTGAGGGAGGGAAGGATTTCATAGTTAGATAAAGCTATTATGTGCTCAAAGGTATACTGAAGTATGTTAAGTTTATATAGCAAATTCAGTCTCACCCTATTCTGGTCCTCCTTTCACAGAACAGCTAGAATAATCTTTCTAAAACAAAATCTGATCCTTTCATTCCTCTGCTTAAAACTGTATGAGGGCTCCCGTGTCTCCTCAGGATGAGGGCTCCTGTATCTCCTCCCTGATGAGGTGAAACTCCTCAGCTTGTTGTTCAAGAAACCAGATGTTCTGCTCCCTGGTTGCTTTTGACATCTTTCCTCCCTCCTAGCATGTGGCATGCATGCACACACAGGCATGTGCACATACACATACACATCCTTATCCCCCAATCACATCAAAACTATTTGATATGCATGGAACGTACTGTGTTAGCTCACATACTTCTGCCCAAGGTCCTTCGTAGAAAGCTCTGAGTAGTGCTTCAGAACTCAAACCAGTCCCCATGGGGGCTTCACTAAGAGCATGTTCCTAGCTCTTCCTGACTTCTCATTACCTAGTGTCAAAATTGTTGGGGTGCATGATAGCCTGTTGCTCCAGACTCCATGTGCACATGTCCACAGCAGCTATCTCTTCATGCTTGCAGCATCTAGTGTCAGCTCAAAGCCTAATTCACAGTAAGTGCTCAAGAGAGATACTGTGGGGTAAAGCACGCACTTCCATCGTGTCACTGATCTCCGTCAAGGACGTGCCATGCTGGAGGCCCCAGAGGGCCTTGGACACAGCACAGCCCTTCCAGTGGAGGGCCACCCTTCAGCTCAGTCTTCAAATTCCAGAAGGGAAGATTTGGTGACATTCAATCTTTATATATCACTCCAGAAATTAATACAGATAAATTAAGTTAGACCCTACATTTCCCCCTGAGACTAGATCAGTTTATTTTCCTCTCCAATGTCTTTCCCTGGTGACACTCCAGGAACCCCTTCATTAGGTCCTGTTGTGTTAGGAAGTTCATAGGAGACTGTCCTTTTGACAAGTGTGTCTCACTTTTAAGTCTCCTCACACCTCATGCCTTGAGTCTTGGGGCTGGTCTTGGCTCTTCCTTTGTCTATTCCTTCTTTCTCCTCCTGACCGCCTGCCTTCCCTGGGCCTCCACATCCCTGTGTTCCAGGATTGATGCCTGTCCTCTGAGTCCTGGCTCTACAATGTCCCTGGAATCTGTCAACTCCTCAGACCCTAGGGTGTTTTCTGGGAACTGACAGCATGTAGGACTTTCAAACCACAGCCTTCCCCACAGCTTGCCTGAGGGTATGCTGCCTGACTTCTGCCTATTCCCTGTCTTTTAATGTTCTTCCCCACTATCTCTGCAGATGCTCACCCTCCAGCTCCTAGATCCCATACTACCCTTGGCCCACTCAGTGCTAAAGCTCTTATCCTATCACCATAGTTCACGGCTGTGCATGGCATTAGTGTGGCAACAGAATTCACCATGGCTTTATAATATGTAGGAATGTAGCTTCCAGGTAACTCTAACTTCCACAGGTAGCAGATAAAATAGTCTATACAGCTCTGGTAGAAATTAGCCTCTGCCAGTTCCTGCATGTTGACATTTTTTTCAAGTGAAAAGTAAGCAAAAAACCTCTAGCTCTGTGTTGTCCAATGTGGTAGACACATTTGGCTATTAAGCCCTGTAATGTGGGGATGTTCTGTAAGTATAATACATATCTGATTTCAAAGACTTTGAAAATTGTAAAATAGAACCTTAAAAATTTTGATGTTAATTATATGTTGAATAATATTTTAGATATTTTAGGGTAAATAAATTTTGAAAAATAATTTCTTTGATTCTTTTTTACTTTTTTTAATGTGGATAACTAAACATGTGGAATACCAGGTGCAGCTTTCATGATTTGCTATAGGAATGTGCTGCTCTAGAGGATTTGCCTGGTGGCTTTTTAATATTAGTAAGGGGACTGAGTATAGACAGAATGGCAGTTAGTGCAGAATTATAAAGCAGAAAAGGTTATGAATGACAGGAGGAAGCTTCTGCTCAGGTTTTAAAATTTCTGTTCCCTGAATATATCGACATGCCACCTGCCTGACAAGCTTTTAAGAAGGTCTGATAATCCTCAGAGAAATGAGGCTGAACCAAATGGCATCTGTCTAAGGCTCACTGCATGGTGCCTAACCTCAGAGGCTTAAAATCAATATTGATTTTCATCATTTATTTTACTCTGGCATTTAAACATCCTTTAGATTTATTACCTTTAGGTTTTTGGTTAAGAGTCAGTGATGGGTATGATAGCAAGAATGGTAATAAGTTATGTAGATATCATTTAATTTATGAACTCTGGAGCACCAGGGTAGCTTTCAATTCAAGAAATATATTAACCACATACACATCACCGTTCATTCTGTGGTAAGGATTTCCAGGCTTGGTCCCTGTTGTGCCACTTAATTTATTGTCTTGCCAGGTACATGGATCTGCGTACAATATTTCAGTAAGTTGCCGCAGCCATCAGAGGGGATGAAGATGGACTTCAAAGAAGCCAACTGGACAGCTGATGGATCACTCTCTCTCCTCTACATAGGCTGGGGCTTTTAAAGCTTGCCAGCGGTTTGGGTCTTTTTCTGCTCTGTGAAGCTGCACGCGCTGGCCCGGTAAGCGGAATCAGTCATGCTGCAGCAGGCGGAGGGCAGCCCCCAGAGTTACTTACGTTGGCAGCCGTAGCGCCAGGAATTTCCTGGCAGACACTCATCACACTTAGGCCCTGTCGTTCCAGTCTTACACTCACAAAATCCTGAGCCATTACAACGATCATGGACTGAGCCCAAAGGGTTACAATAACACTCTGTAGAAATGAGACAACACACAGGCTGGAGACAAGTCTGCATGGCTTATGGGTTATCAACACAGGAGCATCGCTTACTTAAATGCATCACTTACTTAAAGGAAGATGCCCACTAATGAAATGCTTTGGCAAATACAGCTATTTCAGGTCCATTTATTTATTTGCTCAGTCTTCCATGATATCATTTTTATGATATGGGAGGAAATCAACTGAAAACTTTCAAGGAAATAAGACATCATGCTCCTCATTGCTAACAGATCATAATGGAGATTCCATTTGTTAGGGCATTTTTAGATGGTTTAATGAACACCATGAGGAGTTTTATATCAAGGATAAATCAATATGCCATCATTGTAAACTCTGTTCTAAATTATTCAAATGGGCTTATCTGTTACACTCAATATTTGAGAACTGCTGAACATTTAAAAAGTGCCATAAGAATGCACTTTGTTCATTCAAAAGCAGTTTTACTTTATGATTTGGTACAGCACTGTAACTTATTTATATATATACTGCTTTGTGATGAGCCTTTAGATACTGTATCTGTTAGGCATGTTAGTACAGCTTTTATGCAGCCAAGACTAATAATCATAAAAGAAAAATAAATTTTGTAATCCCCAGTAAATTTCAACATAGGCATAATTTGACACATACTTTTCATTATAATGTCTACTGGCAGGACAATACAACTGTGTCTAACAAAAGGTACATAGAATATTATCTTGATTCCTCACACATACTTATACAGAATATTTGTACCTCTCAAGTTTTATTTTGCTTAAAGGCTGAACCAGAAATGGGAATTCCTCAGGCTTCTAGTAGCTTGAAAGGGAACAATAGCCAGTTGGCAGGTTTTGGAATTTGTGGGCCAAAGTTTGTTTCTTTGTTACCTCACTGCATGCTCCTGGGCAAGTGATTACACCTCTCTGTCTCTCAGTTTCCTTTACTTTAAAATGGTACAATTAAAAGGTCTTTTTGATAAAAATCAAATCAAATACTAAACAACCAAGAGAAGCCCTGAGAACCTCCATTTAATAGCATCAAGTTTAACATTTTACATTAGCCATGGAGATCAAAGGGTCAATGTTACAGAGAGCTCCAGAAGTTTGGCTCGGTTTTTGTTATAGGGACTCATTAGATAATTTCTTCAGAGTGTGGAGTACCTTAGAATTGTGATTTAGTTCATGTTGATGAAGTCAGTTTTTAAGTTCAGCATTCTTCCGATACAAACATTTATAAGACTAATAGCGATGTATGTAGATATGTAGATAAAGATAAAACTATATAAACTCTAAAATGCTCCCTCCTTGCCTGGTTTGATTTGTACTTCATAACTAGAATTTTATTTTAAATTGGCATTTTCTATTTTAGTGTGTGTGTGATGGGAGTTGTTAAAAACATTTCTTAATATTAATTTTGTGTGCTTTAAAAATGTTTGTCTGTACATATGTATACTCCAGGAATGTACCTATAACCGAACTGTAATATGTTTTTTCTGTTAAAAGGATGTAAGTTGCTGATGAATCACAAAAATTTTGTAAGACAGGGAATAGAGTTATAGCTGGCCAACATGAATTCACATACTACTTTAGTCAGTCCATACCAGTTAATTACTATAACGTTTTTGATGTAAAAATTAATATAATGTTTTGCAAAAAATGTAAGCAAAATTTTTAAAAATATGGAACATCTAAACCACAGTACATCCCCGTGATTGTTGTAAGAAAAGGGTGTAAGTGTGATGTGACTCAAACAGTCATGAAAAGAAGTGACAAGGAGAGGTATGGTCCACAAATAATTTAGTTAAAAAATACATATCATTTTGGGGACTATGGTCAATGTTGGGGTGATAAGGATGGCCCTGGAGCATTATATTTTATTCCATGAAATTAGCAAGAATATGCAGAACTGGTAGACTAAAACTCATGAAAGGCTTTTGGAGGTTTGATTAAAAATTTATACTACAATTGATTTATAGATATTAGAAGTGTTCTGTGTTTGCTTTGCTCTATAGAAAGTACCTCTGATTATCTGACCTTAGGTTTCAAGGGGAGTAAAAAATAATACATCATAACCAGATGTGTTTAGTAACAACTGCTGAGTCCTGTGTTTCATTCTGATGTTCAGGTATCTGAGATTATTAGCAGTCATTACCCAAGGTCATGAACCATGCATACTGTAGCTTCCTGCTTAATGCTCAAACTTATATGAAACAGAAGCATGCAAGGATGTCATCTTCATGTAATTGCTGCATCATACAGCATAATTACATGCATCTTTGGAGACATCCTGTGCTTGGAATTTGTATGAAAATGTATGAATTCACCAGTAATCACAATGCAGCAATCACTGTGGCCACATGGGCTGGCCTGCATTTTTTGTTTGCTGTAATATAAAATGATACAAATAGTTTATGACATCTATTTCAGCACAGTCTACATTTTGTTAAAGATAAAAGCTGTTCTTGAACAGCCAGGGTGGTGGATTTCATTATCAAATGCTAAAAAAATGGCAGAGTGCCTTTTTTCTCTTGAATTTAGAGAAGACTTAGATGAAGTTCAAATTTTCCAAGATTACTGCCTAATGCTATGCAAGTGAATTGGGCAAATTTCCATCCATTTTCATTAGTGCTTTCTATACAAATATTAAAATTAATTCTCTATTACTTGTGAGGGTACTTGTGCTATACCCTTTCAAATTTAATTCTCAGTCCTGCCTTAAGCCCTTTGAGGGTAATTTAAATGTGGAAAACAGTGGCTAGGTTCATGCTGCCCTGTAAGGCAAACCTTGGCAATGGAGCCACAGTTTCCAATGGCCCTCAGAGAGCAAACTCCAGCCTCAGCCTCGTGCATGGGCAGCCCTGATATTTCTCCCCTGGCCTCTCAGGTGGGAAGAGTGGAATCTATATGCCTCTTCTAGGAAATTGTTATCCACTCATTGTATGCATGCATAGGCTAAAGACAAAGAAAGATGGTAGCATATATCATCTAGCCAAATTTTGCAGTTCATTCTTTAAAACACAATTTTACCCCTTAGGAAAAGGACAGCAATTTAAGGAATTTTGGTATGTGGGGGAGATACTGTAGCTAATTTTAATGGTACCTACAAATCCTCATCTTTGTGCTTACCAATTATTTTACTTGGTTGGAGGTTATAAAAGACTGAAGAGGAACATGTTTGCCTCAATGAAAAAATTCCCCAAAGACTTATAATTTTAATTAACAAAATTTCTAGAAATGGAGAGAGCAACTTGTTTTTTTAAGTAGAAAAACATGCATATTAAACTAATAAATGCATATTAAATTAAATATGAAATTCATATTTCATCTGTAGTTTCTGTGATTTGAAAGACAAAAGCTGAATGGGCTGTCTTCTTGTCTGTTACTAAACAAACATGGATTTACAACAGAACTATATTCTTAGAACTGGATAGGAAGTGCAGATTGTGTAGTTTGCAGAGTACTTCAGCCACACTATAATAGAATACACTAAGTAAAACATATTGGGATATTGTCAAGTTACCTGCTATGAGAAATTTTATGGACTAAAATCTTTTTTAAGACCTTTTTATTTGGTTTATTTAAAAAAATGTGAAATTTGCATTTTAATCTTCTGTATTTCATAAAAATGATTAGGTTTTATTACTGTGTTCCTATTTATTTTACCTTCTCTCTTATTCCATATGTGTACTATGACATTTATGTATTTTTATGGATGACATTCACTGAAGTGCAATTCTGCATTCAAATCAGACAGCTACATGTATCTTGGTTTTTATTAATATCTTCAAATCTTTGTAACTCAAGTATCATGAAGGCATTTGAACTTTGGCTCACAAGCTCATAGTGGGATTGTTGCTGTTATCCAAAAAGTATACCTTAAGTAGAAGTCTGAGAAGTTTAGCTTTGCTAATTATGTCAGGGTAGTTGGGGGAAAGTGTTCAAGCTTTGAAGTCAGAACACAACACTTTGCTGAACTGTATAATTTGGGTCAATTTGCCTTATTTTTCTCAACTAGAAAATAGAGGAAATTATCACTGGAATACTTACCTCATGGTTTTATTAATAAGGATTAAGTAAAACACAAATTTGCAAGTCAATTCACAGTCCTCTGCATCCCATATAACACCAAATTGACCAGGAGTTCTCAAATGACTTACCTAAGGCACACAGTTTTAAATAGCAAACTGGGACTTGGACCCAGATCTCCGGCCTCTAAGTCCAGTGATTTCTCCACTAATCCACAAATAATGAATAAGGAAGAACTTTGAAATAGAACATGCTGTAGACATAAACAGTATTATGTAAACTTGGCTCAGTTGAATTCAAAACAACTTGTACGGCTATTTTATGTGACACTTGGCGAGTATCTGTATGGCCTTGACAATTCAATCAGAAAACAGTGATCTCAGAACAGCAGATTGACTGGATTCCTTTTTTGATGAAAAGATCACCTGTCATTTTTCAGCATGTACATTCTATTTAGATTAATCTCTATGTGAAAAGTTCTACCTTTAAAACTGGTTGCCTGTATAGTCACCTACTATGCGCTAACACACATATCCTCCATCATTTCGCATATATGTATTTCTTTAAATTGTGATGTGAAATTCCATTTACTGTTTCTTATTTTTCCATCAGCTCCTCTTCTTAAAGACAGGCTCCTCTAGTCGAAAGATGGAAGCCCCTTTTTGGTGGGAAGAACACCTGGTTCTCTCCGATTGACATGAACAGTAGCCACAGGGGTGGAAGAAGTGTTCCAGGGAACACTGTGGACCCAGTTTTCCAGGAATCATGCACCTTGGAAGCTAAGGGTATGAATCACTTACAATAGTTTTGAGAAATTACTTCTCCTTTTGGGGGCTACAGGAAAATTCAATAAATGGAATTTCACTATTATAGGTGGAAAATTCAGGCAAACATCTACATTACTGATTGATAGTGGCTTTCAATTCCAAATCGCAGTATTTTAAATGAATCAATATTTGTTGATTAAAAATTATGTGCAAGAGTTTATATCCTAATTTATCATACCTATAATTAAATCCCATATAATGAGTTTCCATTTTGAAGTCTGAATGTTCGACTTAGGACTCTAAGGTCAGGTTGAAATTACTAGGTTTTAAGACTTCATGCAAAAGGAATAAAAAAGGAAGAAAGAAAAACATAAAATTCTTCATATTCAAAATAGAAGTTTTCAGCTCATCATCTTTAAAGCAACAATAATATAAGGACTCAAAATGTCTCCTCCAACTATGATTTCAACCAGCAAAAGTGAATTTTAAATCTACCACAAGGATGTTTTCTCCATTGAGAAAGTTCACTCTGGCTCAGACGTGGTGCAAATCAATGGCCTCTCCACCTTAAATTGCTCCCCATAGTTTGAAAGGCACAGAATAGTAGCTGAAAGTATAATGGAACTGACCTATGCACACATTCTCATCGTCCAGCTGTGCAGAAGCATTTCTGAAGTAGCCCAGCCTGCATAACTCACAGTGCTGCCCTCTAGTGTTGTGTTTACAGCTCACGCAAATGACTGTGTTTAGCAGATCGATATAACTGCATCGATTGGAGTGGCCGAAGCATTCACAATCTTGCAAGGAAGAACAGAGATGTATACAGAATGTACACAATAGCAGAGTAATAGCACACTACATGCGTGGATAAAATGAGAAGTGGAGAAAAGATGGCGGAATGGCATTACATACATGTGACTGATCATGATACATGGCGACCACAGTGGCTGTGACTGGCATGGAAGTTGCATCTGTTTCAAGCAGGATAGAAAGGTTGGACATTCAGAACATGACTGGAGATTGTTAATTCTTGGCAAACACTATGAACAGAAGCATTTGCAGGTGTACACCTTTTAAAATTTGGGAAGGCTTGGTGTCCATTGATGCAAAAGTCTAATTTTTACACTCTGAAAAACTTTACTGTCTTTGCATCATTTCCCCCATTTTCTCTTCATATTTGCAGTCTTAAAAAAAAAGAGGGAGAGAAGTATATGAGCATCTCTGTTCTGAGTCTGCCATGCTGCATGGCTTCTTTGTTTAGAATCTCTCATTTACCTCAAGACGGTAATTCAGTCAGGGTTTCACAGAAATTATGGCAAATTTAACAGGGATCTACACAACTACATAATGCTTTATTTTTGTTTTCTCCAAATGCTAAGAGGAAAGATGGCTTTTGTGAGCCTTTCATCAGGCCAAACCTGCATATTTGTTTATGTGTGAGAGAAAATATAAAAAGCAGGGAGGTTATTGGTATGAAAATACCATTGTTATTACTGTGAATTTCCTTTTCTTACAAGTTTCAAGTTAAGTTGGCTACAAAAGAAGGGTTAGGCAGCTACTATAACCCCAGGTTTCTCTTCATTTGTCTCTCCAAGATGTTGGGGAGTGGTTTGTCTGAAGTTTAGGGTTGATAGTGATAAGAACTAGACAAGGAGATGGAGAAAAGAGGATGACAGCAGGCGGGGAGGGGTGGAGAGTGACTAGATTTTCTCTGTGTTGCATCTCAAGCAAAGCAAAAAGTTGTTCATTTAATTCTATCTTTGCAAAAGAAGTGGTCAAGACAAAGCCTCTATTGGTAGCACTAATTATCAAATCAAACAGAAAAAACAAGGCATAACTAGATGGAGTATGTAATTTGTCTTCTCGAAATGTGGTGGTAGACCTAGATGAACATCTCTGAGGACGGTCAGCCATGATACTGCAAACTTTACCTAAAAACACTCCTCTCATTAATGTCTGTTTTTTATGTTCTTCCACAAAGCAGCCCAAAACAGTCACTATTTGAGCTCATTCATTCAATAAATTATTTTTTTGGTTGGTCTACTATGTGCCAGGCACTGTGCAAGGTGCTGAGTTAGTCCTTTGGCCTAAAATTTTGGAAGTACTGCCTTTGGTGACCAGACTGAAAATGAATGAGGAAGAATAGGGAACAGTGACTAGCCTTAAAATTTTTTTACATTATTAACATGCTAGATGTTAATGTTATTATGATCATTATCATCATCAGAAAGGTGTGGATTTACTTACTGGGGAGCCAGTTACTATAGCAGAGAGCTGAGGCCAAGGTGCTGACATCAAATCAAATTTGGATAGAAACAGAGGAGGACACTGTAAATGGTAAAGAGTAGAAGACATTCTGGAGTAGGGTTGGCACCTTGGGGACCCCAGATACTTAAGAGAGAGGCAAGAAGAAGGGGCATTTCTGAAGGCAAGCCACTCTCTTTTTTGGAAGCACCTTTACCACTAAGTTAAGTGCACTGGGGGTGGGGATCAGGAATAAGCAGAAAGACAACGCAAGTGCTGGGATGGGGAAGCCTTGGGAGTCTGATGCGGGAAATGGTGTAAGAAGATGCCTGCATAAATTTACTCGTTAAGGCATGCCAAATTAATAATAATAATGATAACTACCAAAGTCATATAATTACAAGTCACCAAATAATTAAGTCTGTTAGAAAACAAGCATTTCACCTCAATATGCTGTATCTTCCTGAGTTACACCTTTTTAAGCTGGCATTTCTGACTCCTTAGGAAATCTAAAAGTCCTCTAGAACCTTCCTTGGTTGAAAGCTTGAAACAGAGAGACTTTTTTCTGGCCCCAGAGTAGTGGTAGCATGGAGGAGATGCAAGCCCCAAATCAGCTGCTTCCCAAAGACCTCTTCAGAGTGACCAGGAATTCCCGAGGAGTGGGCTCTAAGGGCCCAGCCCTGGGGCTCTCCATCTCTGGAGGAGGCCTTTTAGTGGATGACATTCTTCATGTTCCCCAGCTCAGGTTGGTCCTAGGTGTACCTAATGTAATTAATCAGGCTTTTTTCTAAAGCATTCTTTTATGTGCATAAATTCACCCTAGGAATTTTCCAGAACTACACAGAAGTCCTGTTGTCAATAAGTTCGTTTAGTGGGTAAGACAAACACATGCTCAGATAACTAAGGAGTAGGTGCTAAGAAAACCAAATAGTGACAAAATATGATCTAGAGATAAATAACTTCAGGGGGATTAGGAAAATGAACTACACTGCACTTAACATTGAATCTTCTGTGAGGGTAGATAGGGTTGTTTTTTTTTTTTTTTAAAGGAGGAATGGACATTTCAGGTGAAAGGAATAGAATGTGTAAAGACGTGAAGTTGGAAAAATGTAGAGAATGAGTAAGGGCTGGAGAAATTTTGGAACATAGCACCTTTGTGGGTATTTGAAGGATTCTGTAGGATCTGCCCAGCAGCCAGAACTACATCTAACAAAGCAACATCTGACAAAGCTTTATCCAAGAGAGAAAACATATCTCCAGGTTCAACACTTTCAAGAAACAGTTCATGAATCTTCACAGACATGTCAAATGTGACACTGTCATCTACTATTCCTTGAATTCTGTGAGCAGTATCATGTTGCTGGGTCATGTTTCAAAATGAATTTATTAATTTTGATAGGAAAAAGTAATATAAATTATAATAACTAATTATATACAAAACTATACTCAGCTAAACACTCAGTATTTAAACATATTTTAGAAGATAGGTGGATATTTATGTCTTATAATTTAGGGAATGGGCTAAGAGTTACTCCATTTTTTAATGAGAAAAAGATCTTTGATTAGAAAAACATGAGCACACTATATAAAAGCAAGGCATTTCAAATGTTATTATAAGACTGCGGTATTATTTTGCAATATTTTGTTAATTTACCGCTCTTTAATAACCAGTCTTTCCACATACACACAGAATACATGAGAGATCATTAGTGATACAGACTGAGCTGCATTATCATAGTAAGACCCTGAAGGGATAACAGCAATAGTTCAATAATTCTTCGCTCCTCTAATGCATTGACCTATCATGTCCTGCCGTCCCTTCTCTCAAAGTAGGGCCCCGTGGTCCATCCTTGCAATGACTTCCTTACTTCCTTTGATTTGATGCACTCTCATTTCCCCTTGCCCCTTAGTCCCCCTTCCCCAATCATAGTCTCCTGAAAAAACCTGACCCTGGTTCAATCCAACTCTCCATCTCTCCATGCCTATCCCCAGCAGCTGAATGTGGCTGCAGTTTTCCTCCAACCATTCTGTTTACACTCTCACTTCAGTTTACAACCATAAACCTCAACAGGACCCTCAATGCTGCCTGGTGATCCTTCCTGAAACAGGAGGCTCCTGGTCACCACTTTAGCTTGGTTGTCCTCCTTCCCCACTCACCATTGCCTTGTCCTCTCTTTTGCTTTTTGTCCTATCTTCTCAAATGCCTCGGGCCTTAGGCCTTGTACCTCTTTTCTCTTTAGGCTTATCATGGAGCCAGGGTTCTTTGCCCAGCCTCATGACTTTACAAAACATCTATATGCTGGCCTTTCTAAAATAGTTAAATCTATCCTGGACCAAATTCCCCAGTTCATGATCTACTCAACAGCATTCTTAATGGCTCCACTTGGACATTTAATATATATCTCAACTTTAACATGTTCAAAACTGAGCCCTTAGGTTCCCTTCCCAAACCTGCACCTTACCCAGGCAGTCCACCCTATCCCAGTGAATAAAATGACAATTCCATTCCTCCAGTTGCTTAGCTCAAAATTCCTAGAGTTGTTCTTGACACCTCTTTTTTGCATCTCTGACAACCAGTCAGCAGATCCTCTTGGCTACGCTTTTAAAATACATTCTAAATCTCACCACCTCTCACCATCTCATCCTTAGCTAAAGGCACCTGGATTATTGTTGTTGTCCCCAAACTGCTCTCTTGTCCATCCTTGTGAAAGTTTCCTCTCCACACAGCAGAGCAACTCTCTCAAAACCTAAATTAGGTCATGACACCCCTTTGCTCATGATCCAAATGGCATCTTATCTCATTCAGAAAATAGGCAGAGTTTGGTTCATTTTGTCCCCAACTGATCTGGCCCCTGGCTGGGCTGGGGGCTCATTGCTATCACTCTTCTTCTTACAATGCCTCCATCTTGCTCTGCAGAAGTCAAACCCCTTCCCCAGGGCCTTTGCACTTGCTGTTACTTCTGTCTGGAATACTCTTCCCTCAGAAATAGCTATGACCTGCTTCCTCACTTTGTTTTTAGGTCTCTGCTCAAAGAAAATTCTGTGACCAGTCTATCAGAAATAACAATTCTAATCCAAACACACTAATCTCCCAATCTTGTTTAATTAATTTTTTTGTAGAATTTACAGCATCTGGAGAGCATTATTTTTAAAAAAGTTTTTCCCTTTACTCTAAATATAAATACATGAGTACAGACTATGTCTATTTTGTTCACAGATGTAACCACACCACTCAAACATCACGTGGCACATACTAAGCATTCAAAAAATGTCAAATGAATGAATCAGTGAATCAGTGAATCAAGGATGATCCTGAGGCACCTTCTTTGGGAAACAGAGGAAGACAGAGGAAAGTTTTGTTTCAGTTAATTCCTCTACCACTAGAATTCTATAAGAGAGTTTGGCTATACCTTATATATTAAAGAGGTTAGAGAAACAACAGCCACACAACAAGATATAAAAAAGTTAGTGATTATTTTAGCTGAGAGTTGACTAGATGTCTATGCAGATCAGCTGAGGCAGAAAAAAAGGTATTTCCAAAAATTGCTGTGGT